AGCAGGGTTTAGAGCTGTTGTGCATAGGGTCGCTATGAGTCGGAAACGACTCGATGGCACATAACAACAACAACAACATATACTCTATATTCACAATATTAATGTATTTTTACCAAATGAACTAATTAATCTAATTAAACTAATTAATGTCATACTACCCTAACAAAAGGAAAGCTTTAAAAGAAACTTTTTCTTCGTCAATTTATTCCATTTGTTAACCTTTTCATATGAAGCTATGAAAAGAAAATTAAATGCTTAGGATAAATCACAGTGGAAAAGCAAAAGCAACACTGTACAATGACTGAAAATTAAACAAATACTAGATCATAATATTCAAAACAAAACTAGCTCTAGTTGTGGGATTATGGATATTTTTTTCTAAATTAATACTGCTGATAAAACGGCTTTATTGAAAACCAGCAAAGATAACTGAATATAGAATTAATTATATAATAATTAAAAATCCAATAGCTGTTTTAAATTATAAGCTAGAGAAAAACCTTAAGGAAGGGAAGAGTCTAACAAATTATCACAGTTGAGTTTATAATTACCTTTATCTACAGGATCAAAATTGAGGTGGTCTGATGAAACACTTCCAAAGGCATTCTCTGCTTCAACCCAGATTTCTATGTTGACAAAATACACTGGCGCATTAGCAAGAGTACAGGAGTTGGGAGTGTCTTGTTTTGCAACACAATCAGCAAATTTCTCTGTTGCCCTAAATGTGCAAAAAGACGGAAGAGTTATTAGAAATAATTTTTAAAAACTACAGTGTAAAAAGGTTACTTGGAAAGGGTCTGTTGAGACCTAGATTGCTGTAGCAAATTTTCGAATACTCTTAATCACTAAAAGGACATATAATTTCTTAAAAATTAACCAATTTCACTTCAAAATTGCTTAAGATGTCTATTTTTTTAAAAGTTGTTGTTTTTAGGTGCCGTCATGTCGAGCATGACTCATAATGACCCTCTGAACAAAAGATCTGTACCCTGTTCTATTCTGCGCCATATTCACACTTCCTGACACACAAGAACCCACTGCTGAAATCATGTCAATCCATTTCGTTGAGGGTTGTCTTTTCCTTCCCAAGGAATAGCCTCATCTAGCTACATGTTCAAAATATGAAAATGAAGCTTAGCCATCTTTGCCTCCAAGGACCATTCTGGCTGTTCTTTTCCCAAAATATATTTACTTGTTCTTTTAGCAATCCATAGGATATTCAGCACTCTTCTCCAACACCACTGCTTAAAGGCATCAATCCTTTGTCTGTCATCCTTATTCATTTTCCAGCTTTCTGCTGCATAGCAAGCAACTGACTGAGAAGACCATGGCCTGAATCAGGCAAACCTTCAGTCTTCAAACTTATTGTTTCTCAGCATTCTTGAGAGGTCCCTGACAATGGATTTGTCCAATGCAATGTTACTGTTGTTGCTTTTTGTCGTCCAGTCGCTTACGCCTCATAGCGACCTTATGTACAACAACTCTGAACCGTGCTCTATCATTTGCCAACCTTACTGTCTCTGACGCACCTACCGGTATTATCCCAGTCACTAAATCAATCCATCTCAACTAGGGTCTTCCTATCTTGCCCTCCTCCACTCTCTCAAGCATGATGTCCTTATCCAAGGGCTGGTTACTCCTTGCAACATGCCAAAGTATGTCAGACGAAGCCTCAGAATTTTTGCCTCCAAGGAGCAGCCAGGTTTCATCCTCTTCAGGATGAACCTATTTGTTCTCCTGGCAGTCCATATTCAATACTTGTCTCAATCACCACAGCTCAAAGGCACCAATTTTCCTTCTATCACCTCTAGTCACTATCCAGCTTTCTGACACATAGCAAGTAATTGCAAAGAGTATGGCCTAGATCAGGTGCACCTTAGTGTCCAGACTAACACTGTTGCTCTTCAGTACTCTGGAGAGGTCCCTGCCACCAGACTTTCCCACTACAATTTATCTTACAATTTCCTATATTTGTCCTCAATCCAAAAAAAGGTGACCTGACAGAGTGTAGAAACTACTGAACAATATCATTAATATCACATGCCAGCAAGATTCTGCTGAAAATTATCCAAAAATGACTGAAACAACACATCAACAGCAAGCACAACAATTTCCTGGTTGCTGGTACCAAGAGTGTTGATTATTGAGAAGAATGGGAATCCCAGAACACTTCACTGTGCTTACACAGAATCTATACGTAGACCAAGAAGCTGTTGTCTGAACAGAGCAAGGGAACACTGCATGGTTTAAAATCAAGAAGAGTGTGTGTTAGGCTTGTATCCTTTCCCCATATTTATCAATCTGTATGTTGAGCAAATAATTCTCTAAACCAGACTCTGTGAAGAAAATGTGGCATTAGGGTTGGAGGAAGACTCATCAACAAACTGCATTGCTTGCTGAAGGTGAAGAGAGTATAAAACGCTTGCTGCAGAAGATCAAAGACTATAGCCTTCTGTGTAGATTGAAGCGGAACATTAAAAAAAGCCAAGGTCCTCGCTACAGAATGCTATGCTATGCTATGCTATGCTATGCTATGCTATGCTATGCTATGCTATGCTATGATAAATGGAGAAAGAATTGAAGCTGTCAGTGATTTTATTTTACTGGGATTAATAATCAACACCCTTAGTACCAACAGGAAATCAGGAGACAAATTGCAACTAGCCAATAAGCACAATGAAGTGTTCTGGGATTCCCATTCTTCTCAATGTTAGCCATAATCTGTTATGATCCACACAGGAAATTTGTCTTTCAAATTTCCTGACAAACTGGCGAGCATATCCAGGGCTGAATCTGTTAGTTTTCCACCAATTCCTGGAGCCTTATTTTTTTCCATTGCCTTCAGTGCAGCTTGAACTTCATCTTTCATCACCATTTGCTTTTGTTCATGGTACTTCCTGACATTTTTCAATGTCAACTAATTCTTTTTAGTACGGTAATTCTGTGTATTCCTCCCATCTTCTTTTGATGTTTCCGGATCATTCAAGATTATACCCATAGTGAAATATAACTGTACACTCTGGGTGTAGATTTTCTATATATAAAAATAGAAAGGGAATTTTCTACCCCTAAGGATTTTTAGCCTTGAAAATTTGATGGAGAGTTGACATGAATCAATAGCCTCAATGATGTGATGCAATGGTAAAATGCTCAGCTCTAAGTAAAGACTGGTGGTTCAAAACTACCCAAGGGTTCCTCAGAAGAAAGACTTGGTGACTTGTTACTGAAAAAATTATAGCCTAGGAAACTCTATGGGGAAGTTTTATTGTCACAAGCAGTCACAATAACTCAACAACACATGAAATATTTATGGATAAAATGATATCTGTGATTTTCTTCAAAATAGTCTAGGTTAGGGTATGTGTGAAATATAACTGGCCATAGCTGAAAACTACTGAATCTGGATAATGAGTAAATGTGGATTGATTATACTATTCTCTCCTAAAAACATGTATTTTTATACAGGTTTAGAATGGCTGAAAATATAAAGTTAAAGAAAATATTTTAAAATTTGCATTTAATATTACTACTTGAAAAAATAAAAACCTTAGAAAAATTATTAATGAAATAAATCCAAAATACAATTAACATAAAATAACTTACCATTCAGATTTTAAAGTGTAGTTTGTTTGCAGGTATGTTTTCCTTCCAGGATCCCAATGACATATCATATTCTTTTCATCATTTACAACACAAGTTAAGTTTTTAGGTTTTTCTGGAGGCACTAAAAGAATGATTAGGATTAAAATAAAAAACAAAGACTTTTTATACATCACCCAACACACTGACAAATTAAAATTAGACAGAAAACAAAAGTTCAGATGAAAAGTAGGACATAATGAGATACTGGTTACTGAAAATAATTTTCTGTTTAAACTCAAACTAACTTTATAGTTAGTAATATGCATTTTATAGCGTAGCTGTCATTTACTTGTTTCAAATTAATTTTAAAAAAATTAACTTTCATTTATGGTACATGATGGTATCAACTGATTCGCCCGTTGATACCAATAGCCCCTTGCTGACTTTTTAAAAAAAAACCACTAATATACGTTAAATAAGCAGCAGCAGAGTAGAAACAAAAATGACTGATTTCTAGTTCTCCTCTTCCTATTATTTTCCAAACTTGGAGTCAAAACCAAATATCAAAACTGTAAAGTCTGCATGATCTACAAATTTAACTCATTTGTGGAATGTTTCTTAAATTTACTTTGATCTCTAAGAAGGCTTTTCTCCAGTATTTATTCACCTTCAATAAACAAGTAGCTACTTTATATGTGCAGTTTCTTAGTCATTTAAAGAATATGAATACATTTACAGGTTTCAACAGAAGAATGGTTTTGTTTTAGTGGTTTCATGTATAGACTAGGTTTTTGTATATTAAGAATGTAAATAGAGTTACCAATGCTAAAATGTTTGATTTGATTCCTTCCTTCCTTCCCCCCTCCCTCCCTCCTTTTCTCCCTTCTTTTCTTCCTTCCTTCCTTCCCTCCCTCCCTTCCTATTTACAGGTCTCAAAGTCACAGAAGGCAAAAGTATTATATTTCTTTTTTTAAAAAAACTATAATATAAATTATGACATTTCATAAAGACCAATAAACAATGAAAATATCATTCACTAGTTGGCCTAATTGGTAGGGAACTGCACTGCTACCTCAAAGATGGCTCTTCTCTGGGCGCTTTGAATGCATAAATGGCTCCGAGTGAGAAATACAGGCAGTCTGAAGTGTGATTTATAGCTTCCAAAAGCTGGCTGAAAGGGCATCTATAAGTGGTTCTGACTCAAGAGCACTGAGTTTGAATTTCTGAGTCTGAATAAAATTTGGAGAAAAAACCCACCATGCCTTGCCACAGTTAAAGAACAAAACAAAACTCACAGCCGGCTGTTATTGTGATTCCATATATATTTTGCTCAATCTGTTCAAACGCATAAATATTACAAGTGAGTTGAGTGCTTAATGAAGATATAGATGGAAAGGTGACGCTGCATGCTGTTCTGTTTATGACAGTATATTGTTCCTTAGGAACAATAGCATGATTTGTTTTCCAGAAAATTTTGCTGGCATTTACAAAATATTGATCCAAACATTTTTCGTTTAGTACACACGTAGCAGTGAAATTAGAACCAAGTTGTACAAGTGGAGATTCAGGGTTTATATAACCACATGGCTCTAGAAGTGAACCTGAAAGAAATCACAGAAAGGGGATAAAGTGGTATGTGGCTAGTAGTCATACACAAAAAATAAAAAGAAAACAAACAGGAAATAAAGAATGATAAAATGTAATGCCTGAATTTGTATAGCAATAAACAAATTAGAAAAACAGATGGCAGTAGATTAAGAGAAACCTATTAAGGCATCAGTCCATAGTATTTCTTTTATTCTGTATGAATTAGTATTGAGCCTCTGATTATATTTCATGTTCCTATATTATTTCGTATTCTATTAATCCCTGTAACTGAGAGCTCTGGTCGCCTAGGGAGTAAGGAGTTGCATTGTCAACCAAAAGCTGGGAGGTTTAAATCTACTAGTTGCTCCAAAGAAGAAAGATGGACAATTTACAGCCTTTGAAAACCCACTGGAGGATCAGCAGTGAGTCGACTTGAATACATACCAACTCCCTATAATACTGATGCTGCAGTGGCTAAAGGGCTTGATTACTAAACAAACAGAAGGCCTGTGGGTCAAACTTACCAACTGCAGCTGCTTAATGAGAGAACAATGTGGCAGAGTTGTGCGAAGTAACTTCTTTTTTTTTTTTTTTTTTGCCAAGTAACTTCTAAGGCTAGGTTTTTAAAGTAGAGCTTCCAATTAAACTGGATCCCTTTCTCTTAGGAATTACTTGCTTTTGGAACCCAGTTAGGATGTGATAAGGAAGTCAGGGCCCCAAACATGTGGAGATTTGGTCAACAGTCACAGCAAAATCCTCAGCTTACAGCCAGAATCAACACTAGACACATAAACAAGTCTTCAGATGATTCCTCAAATCTGAATTTTTCAGCTGAAAGCTTAGATACTGTAAAACTAAGATGAACCAATCTAGCTTCCTGATTCACGTAAACTGTAAGATAATTACTATTTTAAGCCTAGGTGTAATTTCTAGATGATTAACAGATAAGTACTTAATATATAACTAATGACTTATTGTTAGTTTCAATTAACATTGGAAAATAAATAGAAAACACAAATTTCATTAAACTTACCTATAGATTCAGTGGTGAGAAAAATAAATAAGGCTGGCACTATCCTGGTCCATAATGTCAACATCATGTATTAAGTATTTCTGTAAATAATACATATATTATTATTAAGTTATTTTGAAGCTGGTGTAGTTTCCTGTTAGATGCATTTTGGGACAACACTTAATATTTTGTTGTTATTGTTGTTTCTCTCATATACATACACAAAATAAGCTAAGATACAATTTCTAAAGGTATTGTTTTCATTATTTAGTTGCTTTCAAAAAGCTGTGAAATTCCTATAAGAACTCAGCAAACAAGTCTTGAGAATGTGTCCCTTATCTCCATGTTCATGCTCCACTCCTTTTTATTACAATAATTCCTTTCTCAGAAAGGATAAAATATCTAGGAATAACTCTTACCAGGATTATAGAAAACTGTAAAATTAGCAAGGATCACATAGGGATGGCCATATCTGACCTTCACCAACTTCACAAAGGGGAACTATCCCGATCAACAGCATCAACAACACAAAACCAATTCCCATTGAGGTCAGCCATATCCTCTACACTCCATACCTCTTTCTACTTATTTTAACACCAATCTTACTGCTTTGCTGGTTCCAAGATACAATGTGATAGCACACAGACCCATACTGGAGAGGTAAAAAGGTTATAATTCAGATTAATAGCAGAATACAGTTAAGATAGCACCTGAAATGTGCATACAGGAACCTTGGCTGCCAGCAGGCCAGTGTTCCCAAGTTCTCAGTCCTGTGAATATTAGCTTCCCACTCCAGGTGTCCAGCAAAATTCTCAGCCCTGCCAATATTGCTGCTGTCCTCTCTGCAAGTCCCATCTCATATCAAGACTCCAGTTTGGCTACAGGTATTGCTACCTGGAACAAGAAAGGTGTCCTGCAAGGTCTTGTTCTTTCTTCAATGATGCCAGAGGATTTGTCTGTCTTCCACTCTGGCTTACTCAATTCAATGATGAGATTTACCAATCCCCTTGGAGATTACTAAGATTGGTCAATCCCCTTGTGGAGTGGTACATAGCTAATTCCCTTGTGGATAGACCAACACATTCTATTTGCATATTCCCACCCATCTCCTTTGCCCATAGCAAAGTTAAATAATGGCTAGGAAAAAGTCATATTGAAAGTTAAATTTCACAAACACTTATATAAGCAAACTATCAAGTATCACTGCAAGGAACTTTTAAAAAGAGACCTAGGTAGAGGAGAAATATCCCATACTCAAGGATTGGAAAACTTAACCTATTTTTGTCAGTAATACCAAATTTAGGTCTGTAGAGGTAATGTAGTCCTGATCCAAATTCCAATAATATTATTAACTGAATTGAGAAAGCTAATCTCCAATTTTATTTGGAAAGGAAAGAGGTTCCAAATAACTAAAGCGGTACTTATGAAAACGAGAATAAGAGGTCTTATTTCCTGATCTCAAAACTTTACAGCCACAATAATTGAAAAACCTTGATAAAGGTTCAATGAAAGACACAAAGACCAGTGGAACAGAATTATGAACATACAAGTAAATTGACCCATCTACAGATAATTATCTTTGATAATAGGTAAAAGCTCTTCCAATAGGGAGGAAAGTTTCTTAACTGGGAAAACATTTTATCTGTTGCAGAAAAAGAAAATAGTATTATTTATAACTTACATTACACAACTTTACAAACTCACTGGAGAGTAAGCAGGGTCAGTCAACAAAATTTACTCAAAATGGATCAAAGATCCCACAGGGATGTGGAAAGACAGGGCAATGGTGGGCATGTTTCAGTGTTAATTTTATAAAATATAATGAATAGGGGTAACAATTTTTAAAAATAGATCAAAGACCCAAACTTTAAACCTACAAACTATAAAGTTCTTTAAAGAGAATAACATAGGAACAAGACTAGATGTCAAAATATAAGACACAAATACACTATCAAACACAACAACAGGGGAGCTCTGGTCACCTAGTGGCAAGAAGCTGCACTGCAATCCTAGAGGCGCACGGTTCAAATCCACCAGATGCTCTGCCGGGGAAGGAGGGACAATCCCCTCCTGTACCAGTCAGATCTGATTTGACGGTACACTCAAATAATAAAATTTAAAAACAAACAAACAAAAAAAACCACAACAACAACCAAAAAATGCACAAATGATAGAAAATAAACTAGATGACTGGGACCTTCTAAAAATTAAACATTTATAATCAAAAGAGAGAAAAAAGAATCTACTAACTGCAAAAACATTTTTGGCAATGATATATCCAACAAAGATCTAATATCTAAAATAGAAAAACTTCAGCACTTCAACAAATCTCTCTCTTCTATGTATGTTTAATGCTTATTTTTCATTGCAGTGATATTTTTTGTTTTTAACAAAAAGGTTATTCTACCATGATCTGTTTTAATTTCCTAGAATGTCATGAGTCTTTTGAGTCTTGGCTTAGTTCAGAAAATTTGTCTTTTGTTTTTAGTTTTCTCCTGCTATTTATGTGCTACTTTTCTTTTTAAAGGATATTAACGGCTAGCTCCTACTGTCTATTCCCTATAATTATTCTTCTTTATCACTTAAATTTTATCATTTTCCTCTAAGTTGAGTGATTCTCCTGGGTCAATTTTCTCAGTGTCAATTCTATTCTGTGGTTGTTTCTAACAGGGTTTAGAGAAGTGTTAATGTTTATATTTTTCTCTTAGGTTTCTATGCCTTGCTTTGCCAAATCCCTTGCAATTAATTCTGGGGCTTTAATTTTCCACTTAGCTAATTTCAAGGCTACATGACTTAAAAATGAATTATATGTATTTTTTTAAGGAGCTTTGGGATAGATGGGAAAATTAGTATGAGAAAGGAAAGGGGGAAAAGAAAAGATGTGACAGAGATTATACTTGGCCCAATAAACCTAACTGACTTATAATGTGTCCTATTCTGAAATTTGTCAACTTCAGATCTAAAAAGAGAAAAAAAGAAAAAGAAAGGCCACCAGAAGAATAAAAAAAGACATCTCAGGAAGAAGTGGAAAACTTGATTAAACAATTACCACAGACACTGAAGGGAACACCGAAAGGGTTGGAGCTGTCCAATAATGTCACTGAGAAAAATGGGCAGCTCCACACAAGCATCCGCAAAACTGTCATATGGACAATAGCTTATGTAAAATGTTATCAACATTAAGGTGCATCTGGACCTCAGACATGCTAAAGTTAAAAATGCATGCATCTTAAATGTTATGAAACATAGTATTTCTAACTGGAAACTGTGGAAACTCACTGTACATGTTTTTAAAGAGATTTTCATTTTCTGAGCAGTTTAAGGTTAACACAAAGTGTGCAGAAAGTACAGAGTTCCCATAAACTTCTTCTGATACATGTTGTTTCTCCTATGATTAACATCTTGCATTCCTATGGACTTGGTAGAAAGGATGAACTGATACTGATAACATGTCCATACAAAGAGCACATGTGTGCTGTGACATTTCCAGGAGTGAAATGTTGCCTCAGTCACAGTCTGAAAATATTACTCTTGATCATATTTGTATAATAAAGGCATAATTCATGGACAAGAAGCTATGGATTGTGTTTAGTAAATCTTGATAATTAAAAAAATTAAACAATTGAAACTATTTGTTTCTATTAAGTTGATCATTAGATCCCTGTCACTTTTGAATTATCTATCAACTAGAACTTACTGAAGCATGTCCACTGGTCATGTGCTATAAGCATAAACAAAGAAAAGTCTACTGTGGCTTAAATGACATCAAGCAGCTATCAAAAGCAGCACTGACATTATCACAGTTGTCTTCCAACTACAGTTTATAATTGAAGGAGGGAGAAAACAAGTTGTTGTTATGTACCGTCGAGTCGCTTGCGACTCATAGCGACCCTATGTACAACTCTAAACTCTGCTCTGTCCTGTGCCAATCTCACTGTCTCTGACAGACTCATCCTGATGGCCCCAGTCACCGAATCAATCCATTTCCCAGAGGGCCTTCCCCTCCTGCGCCTGCCCTCCACCCTCCGAAGCATGATGTCCCTCTCCAAGGACCAGTCTCTCCTTACATGACCAAAGTATGTCAGACGAAGTCTCAGAATCCTTGCCTCTAAGGAGCAGCCTTGTTTAACCCTCTCCAGGATGAATCTGTTTGTTTTCTTAGCAGTCTATGGCACCCTCAGCACTCTTCTCCAACACCAAAGCTCAAAAGTATCAATTCTCCTTCTGTCCTCCCTGGTCATTGTCCAGCTCTCTGACACATAACAAATGATTGCAAAGACCATGGCCTGTACCAGACACACCTTAGTCTCCAG